TAGATTATAAAGACAATTTAAACTTCATTGATTGATAAGAAGTAAGAAGTAAACATTAACCATTGATACTAAGATGCATGATTAGAAAATCTACTTATGGTGTACTCTAGATATAAATCAGTTTGTAATAAGAATGATGAAAAATTATATAGTAAGTATATAATGGTTTTTAATGAAATATGACACCAAAGATCTTGAAAAAATTGATATACCAAACAACTTAAATATCAAAAAATGGTGACATTGTCCATTTGCGTATTGATTTTTGTGTTGCAGTGATAGTGTGTATGAGGTTATTAGGGTCAAACGTAAACTGACAAACTTTAAAAAAAGAAACACTAAACTTATAAATATTATGTATTTTATGTGTGTTTAATAGAAAATTTTTTTAATTTATGAAAAATTTTATCGTAAAAATATAAATTAAACAAAACTAACCTAAATCAAGGTACAAATAATACACTTTTAACATATAACATTTAAAAACAATCAATTAATAACAATATATCCACAACTAAACCATACGAATATTAAAAATTAAAAACAACAAACTATTGTCAAAGTATACACTACCAGACCAACACCAAAAAATCATCAATATTCATAAACACACATAAATGTTAAACATTTGCGAACTGTACGGTTATAAAAATTGAACAAAAAAAAAATCAACATAAAATAATGAGATGATTTGACATTAACAAAATTTGTAATATATACTCTTTTAACTAATCATTTATGACAATCAACAATATATTTTGTTCACTTTCAATAAAAATTAAATTTTTGAGAAATATAAGTTTTCATGTAATTCTGAGTAAAGTGGTGATTAGGTATGAACAATGGTTCTAAGGTTTTACTTATGGATTGAATATTTATAATTTTTATCTATGTGAAAGTGGTGATGATGATTAAATTGGTTTTGATTTTTTTTTTTGTGTAATTGGTAATATTTGTTATTTTTTATTGGTCACTTATTTTTTTTATTGGTGATTAAATTGAACTTTTTTTTTTCTTTTTTGAGAACTACATGTTTTCATATAGTACTGATTTATTTTTGGTATGAATAATAACTTTATAATTTAATTTATGGATTTTATATTTATACTTTTTATTTGCGTGGAAGTGGTAATAACGATTATATTGGTTTTGAATTTAGTCATTTTATTAGATATATATATATATATATATATATATAGAGAGAGAGAGAGAGAGAGAGAGAAAAGATGAGATAATGTATTTAAAACGTCTAAGAGATAACAGAGAGAGTTATATGAGAAATATGAGTGTTAGAGTTAAGTCAAATTATGATCGTCGGATCAGTATTTATAAGATGATGTGAACCGTCTTTTATGTTGAGATTACGTTGTCTGTTGGATGTGTTTATGTTTTGTCTCAAAACGATCTAGATTTCTTTTTGTCTTTTGGATTCAAACTTCGTTCTACTTTATTATATAAATATATAGAATTTTTATCAGATCAGATTACATATCTAAATCCAAATTCGGATTCAAGTAAACAGATTATAATTTTAATCTATGTCTGGCTAAATGAATTTGAATTTGGATTAAAATCCAATGTATTGACATACCTATTTTCAAGTGATGTACACATCTAATAAAAAAATTATCACAACATTCGCTTGTATGACACACAAGTTATTTTTTTAAAAAAAAAATTATGATAAAGTGATGCGTGACATTAATTTATTATGAAGGTACAATATTTTATAGGTGATGTATAATTTATTAGAAATATACAATATTTTATAAATAATGTAGTGGATACATCCCGAGCTTAGAATTTGACAAATTATTTAGAGTTATGTCATGAAAAATTATGAATTCTCTAATTTTGATATAAATAATTTATTTTTTAATTGAGTCGAATAAAAAATTAGTTAAATGGACCGGATCCTCATTCGAACACCTTAANTAATAAGAATGATGAAAAATTATATAGTAAGTATATAATGGTTTTTAATGAAATATGACACCAAAGATCTTGAAAAAATTGATATACCAAACAACTTAAATATCAAAAAATGGTGACATTGTCCATTTGCGTATTGATTTTTGTGTTGCAGTGATAGTGTGTATGAGGTTATTAGGGTCAAACGTAAACTGACAAACTTTAAAAAAAGAAACACTAAACTTATAAATATTATGTATTTTATGTGTGTTTAATAGAAAATTTTTTTAATTTATGAAAAATTTTATCGTAAAAATATAAATTAAACAAAACTAACCTAAATCAAGGTACAAATAATACACTTTTAACATATAACATTTAAAAACAATCAATTAATAACAATATATCCACAACTAAACCATACGAATATTAAAAATTAAAAACAACAAACTATTGTCAAAGTATACACTACCAGACCAACACCAAAAAATCATCAATATTCATAAACACACATAAATGTTAAACATTTGCGAACTGTACGGTTATAAAAATTGAACAAAAAAAAAATCAACATAAAATAATGAGATGATTTGACATTAACAAAATTTGTAATATATACTCTTTTAACTAATCATTTATGACAATCAACAATATATTTTGTTCACTTTCAATAAAAATTAAATTTTTGAGAAATATAAGTTTTCATGTAATTCTGAGTAAAGTGGTGATTAGGTATGAACAATGGTTCTAAGGTTTTACTTATGGATTGAATATTTATAATTTTTATCTATGTGAAAGTGGTGATGATGATTAAATTGGTTTTGATTTTTTTTTTTGTGTAATTGGTAATATTTGTTATTTTTTATTGGTCACTTATTTTTTTTATTGGTGATTAAATTGAACTTTTTTTTTTCTTTTTTGAGAACTACATGTTTTCATATAGTACTGATTTATTTTTGGTATGAATAATAACTTTATAATTTAATTTATGGATTTTATATTTATACTTTTTATTTGCGTGGAAGTGGTAATAACGATTATATTGGTTTTGAATTTAGTCATTTTATTAGATATATATATATATATATATATATATATATATATATATATATATATATATAA